TTGGGAAGGCCCTTTCCAAGTCCTGCTAATGACTAAGACTGCAGTCTGAACAAGAGAAAAGGGGTGGACTCACACCATGCATAAAAAGGCCCATTAATCCACCACTCCAGGAGTGGACTGTCATACAGGGAAGTAAACCCCTTCAATTGACCTCTAAGAGACTTCCATCTAACCGATCTTCCCTTTAACAAATCTGGAGAGGTGCATTTTTCATCTTCAAAATGAATGTACACTGGTTTATGTGTTAAAGTGTTTGGAATTATCTAATAACTGTGATAATATACTGTGGGTAAAGTGTGGATGGGATTTTTTTTTGCAAAAATTGTGGGAAGTGGTCTGAATTGAATGGAAAAAAAAAAGACAAACAGAAGTAGTTAGGATACATTGCGGACAGAAGAGTGATATGAAAAATCAATAAGTTATGGATAAACCTCCGTGGTGTCTATTGTAAAAGGACTAAATAGGACACCGAAAATAACAGTGTCATTGTGCCCTTTATGTAAATCCTGTGACATAGCTATTATTGCAAGGCACAGAAATTATAAGTGGGCAATTAAGACAGACCTAAGAAAGTCTTTAACTTTTGTTGCTGGTGTAAGTTAGAAAACAATTATAAAGATTTGAAAAATAAGACAAGAGTCTGCCAGACTTATCAAAAGATAGTAAGAAAAAAGGAGTTTTTCTGATGAAAGGGTCCACGAGGCCAGGTAGTTTTCAAGGGCAAGACCGGATTAGCCTCTGTATTTGCCACCAAGAAGAACCCTTACTCTGCTGTCGACTGCAATCCGATAGGTGTGAGTGGTGGAAATACAAGCTATACCGGACCTTGATCAAAATAAGCCTCGGTAATAATTTGGACTTTGTTAATCCTTAGCCAAGTTCCCTATTCTCAAGAAGATTGTAGCAAATATTATCAAAATAATTCGTTATGGTAGACAAATCTTATATAGCTTTACTTACCATACATTCATAAACAGACACTGCTATAATCAAGACGAGTTAATAACCTGCAATTATGAAGAACAACAATACTAGGTGAGAAAAAAACCTAACACCAAGGAGAACTAGGCTTGGAATTGGATGCCCGTGAGGGGAAACATGGATATGTTTCAGTAAAATAGGACACTAGGATATACCGGATGGAGAAGGAGTTCAGGATCAAGCTAAAGAGCAAATAGTTAAAAATATGATAAAGGGGATGGTAAATAAAGACTCAAGATGTAACCAGCTAATTGTACACAGAACTTAAGAATAAAATAGAGAACTAGAACTTCTGTCACTTGGCAAAAACCTTTTTAAAAGTTTAGCTGAGAGGCTAACAGGAGAATTCAATATAACTAACTGCTGGGTTTGTAGCGAAGCAACAGACTCAGATGCAGGCCACTGTTTATCAAAATTGATTAGCTTTAAATTACCTATTAGCTGAAGAAGGGAGTGTGTGTGAAAAATTTAATATCTCAAATTGTTGATGACAACAGAGAGGTGGTGTTAAATATAACAACTGATATCCGGAAACTAGCCCATGTCCCTGAACAAAAATGGAAATCCATAGTAGGATTCATTCGTGGGATGAAATGCTAGGGACAACATGGTGGAAAAAAAAAGGCAGGATTTTTCCTTCTATGTGCTTTGGCTGGACTCATGTTTATACCTTGGTTAATACCCTGTTTTGTAAGATTAATTTCTGGTGTTGTAGAAGGGATGCAAGTTACAAGTGTGTCAGTGAACTCAAAGATGACCACGACTGGACAAGTTACAGGAGAAAAAAAAAAAAGTAAAATAAAATAATGGTGCTTCGAAGAAGGGACAAAGAAAAGAAGCAACAAAATGAAAAATTACAACTAATTTTGGACAAACTAGAACAAAATTGTGGGCTTCAGCAAAAAGAGTAAAAATTAGAAAAGGGGTGGATTGTGATAAATAATAATGTAGTTTTGCTTAAGCGCTGAAATAAAAACTTTACTTCACAGACTTTGTCCTCTACATAGGTGAATGTTTCTCACATAAATTAACTGGAGAGAAGGTAGCAGCTATCCCTTCTTATTCCTTTGAACTTTCTCCATTTTGTAGCTTTCCCTTAGTTCTCCTAATTTCACATCGTTTATTCCGTTCACATTTTGTTTTCCTTCCAAAATGCTGTATTGGATTTTTTATTGTTGTTGAGTCATTCCTGTGCTGGATGACCTGAAAACTCAGCTTCCTATGATTATTTCTCATGTTTGCAACTTCTCACTTCTGAATGTAAAGTTAATAAAGAAGTTGGAAGCATTCATTTCTGTGGTGAAGTTTGTCCTTTAACTTCTGTCTAGCCATTGTTAAAATTTGTTTTACTGTTTTGTATACTCTTTTTTTTTGTTGTTTAGGAATGGTTTCTAACTGGACCAAAGTTCCACCACCACTTTTCAAAAAAGTTGTGATTGTGCTGATAGATGCTTTGAGAGATGACTTTGTGTTTGGATCCAAAGGTAAACAGTTCATGCCGTATACTACACAAGTTGTTGAAAAAGGGACATCCTGCAGTTTCATTGCTGAAGCAAAGCCACCCACTGTGACTATGCCTCGAATTAAGGTAAGTGTTTTTTTCCACTTAGGGTTATTTCATTTGAGAAAGCTTTGAAGGCTGGGTTGTTTCATATACTTGGAGTTGGCATAAAGGGCAGGTTTGCTGCGTTATTCCAATTTGTGGCTGAAACTCTCTTTGCTGTAGTAGTGCATGTGACAGAGTCCTCATTTGCCATGACCCAGAAGTGCTTCCTGCACGAAAGGTCACGTCAGGGAGCAAAGGAAAGCAGAGAAGCTGAGTAAGAGGAAGAGGTGGCAGCTTCCACTTAAGTCACTTTGCCTTGTTTTGTTGCTTTAGTTGATAGCTCTGTGGTGGGAAGATCTCCGAGAATCAGTTAAGGGCAGTTAAGGCCCTAGTGCAGGCTTAAATAATTGACATAATCTTTTTATTTGTAATCATGGGAAGGCAGTAGCCTCTCAGTTGTCAAATTTTCCAGTTGTCTTCTATCCAAGAACATTTTTTTTTGGTATTTCTCTGTGTTTTTGTAACTTTTGATAGGAAATCCAGTTTAGTGTAAATGTGTTTTGTCACAAGGATGTTTTTGCAGAGCTTAAAAAGCAAATTGTGCCCAGTTCCAGGTAACTAAAAGATGAACTGTGGCTGTGTCATCGAAACACTTGATCATGCAGACTTCTCAGTGATGGATGTGAGTGACATTTCTTGCACTGAAGAAGCTGACGGAGTGACCTTTGGTAGGTCAGCTAGAAGGCCAGTGAGAGAGTGAGGGAGAGACAGTCTGGTAACTCTTGATAGGTGGACTTCATTGCATTTTCCAGAAGATGCTTAATTACTGTTTTGAATGTGCTATCATTGTTATTGTTGTGCTAAGTCAGTTTACGTATGCCTTCTAAACCGTCTTTTTGGTGATTTAGTGACTGGTAAATGAAGTGAATTTCAACTGGTGTACAAAAGTCATTTTGCTGTCCGCTAATTAAGAAAGTGTTATTTTTACCTTTCTGTAAAGCAGTTACTGTCTTTGACATCAGCTAGCACTGTGTTGTGGTGAGTGATGTGACGTGGCAAGGCAGCTCATGTGTTCTTTAGCTTTATCATGTTTCTTTATTGAAAGTAAAATTTCTCTACCATCTGCTTCATTGCTTCCTCTTACACTGTCTTCTGAGTACTGGAAGCTTTTTGGTTTCTGTTAATATGTCTCTTTTCTTTTCTTGTTTTATGTAGGCTTTGATGACAGGTAGCATACCTGGTTTCATTGATGTTATTGTGAACCTCAATTCTCCAGCTCTGTTGGATGACAACCTGATATGGCAGGCAAAAACAGCTGGGAAAAGAATAATCTTTTATGGTGATGATACTTGGGTTAAATTGTTTCCAAAGCATTTTGTGGAATATGATGGAACAACATCCTTTTTTGTGTCAGATTTTACAGAGGTGAGAGGCTTTGTGTAATTCCAAGTTAAATAACGTCAGTACAAACGCATAGTGGCAACTTCTATGAATGAATGAGTAAAAGTATCCTTGTTCTGAAATACGAACCTTACAATTAAATAGATATTGGATTTATATGTGATTTTGGTATTGGCAATGTGGAGCTAAGCATTTCAGTTCCTCATGAATATGCTGTGAGAAGTGTTTGGATGATACAGTAACAAACAGAATGTTACTGTATAACTTTCCTGAACATATGGTGTTCTTACAAAACTTGTGGTAGGAAGTTAAACCACTTGCTTTGTTTAAGAATTCCACTATACATGTTTCCAGTTTGCTATCACATTTGTATTAGTATGTGCCATCTTTTAAAAGCTCATTAATATATAATCTTGGTTTCTTAGAAACATACTTTCTACAGTATTGTATCACTTTTGTAGTTGCAAAATGAGTAGTGTTTCAGTGTGTTATCAAAGAGTGAGCACAGAAAGTAAATGAAACAAACTGTGAAAATTCTGGGCACACTAAAAGAGTAAATCATTCTGCAATTTTAGTTCATATTTTGAACCTTTATGGTTTGTAAAACCACAGGCCACTGATCTGGTGCTACTGACATCAGTATCTTATTATGTTAAGGAAGTTACATAAGTCTAATGTGAATTGGAAGACACTTTTAATTGGTTACTCTAATAAGACTTGCAGAAACTTCAACATGGAATAGAAAAATGCAGACGTGCTGCTGGGTTTGCAATTATATGGCTCTCAAGCTCTTTATGCAGTCTTTATGCTTTCTGAATACAGTTCATTAAACAGAAAGCTTTTTATAGTTTTTTAGGATGTTATATCCGGAGTCAACAAAGCTGTGTTGCATGTGAAATTTCGTAGGGATTTGTAATAGCCAGGGAAAAGTACATGCAACTAAAAATAAGTTGTCAGCCTAAGCAGGAGAACATGTGAATTAGGCCCCAAATAACACTTTTCAAATAATTTTTCTTTCTTGCTGTGTCGTCAGTTCTCTTTCTCACAGCAAGTACAGTCTTTTTGTGTTTGCACAGTAGCAAAAATTGCGTTGAAAGAGCAGGAGTGGGTTTTTTCCCCTGTGCTTCCAATCACCAAAGAGAGGCTTTTCCCTGTACCTACTTCTTGTGAAGTAATAAATCAGGAGTGTGAAGGATGAAAATCACTGAAAATTTCTTGAAACAGTTTTTAAAAGTGTCTGTGGAAGCATGGTGACCCATTTTCTCTGTTTGTGTGTAATCTGATGCCTCGTGACCACAAAAGAGTGAAATGGGGTGAATCTATTTTATAAGACAGATTTTTTGACTGCCTGGCATTGAACTAATCAATCTAATTTATTTTTTTTTTTTCTTGATAACATTGTGAGTGACTGTAATTCTCATCAGCTTCTGCAGAATTTTCTTGGGCAATGAGATTTGATTTTTCTATGCTTTTTACAGAGGGAAATTATTTTTACCTTTTATTTGTTTTCCTTTTATTTCTGAGGTTGATGATAATGTTACCAGGCATTTGGATGGAGTGTTAAAGAGAGAAGACTGGGATCTCCTAATACTGCATTACCTGGGGTTGGACCATATTGGACATATGACTGGGCCAAACAGCCCATTAGTGGGACCAAAACTTCGTGAAATGGATAACATCCTGAAGAAGATTCATATTTCTCTTCTTTCAAAGGTAATATAGCTCCTTCTTGGATCAATGTCTGTTAATTGTGGACTAACTTTAAAATATTTGCTTGTTTGTGGGTGGTGGCTTGTTTATTCCTAGACCAAAGCAGGCATTCTTCTGTTCTTTTGCTTCCCTGGCCATTCCTCAATTAACAGTGTAGTGTAGCATTTTTAAGGGTTTACTGACTGACCTTAGTACAATCTGTTAATGGTCTCTTCTGAACAGCTGTGGGAAATAACTCTCCCTTGGTGTGTGGGAAGAGGAGAGGAATGCATGCTAAAATTCTCTTATCACTCATGGATTAAAATGGTGGTTGTTGTGCTTTCTAGTAATGAAATTCAGCTGAAGGAATAATGGGCATGTATAGCCAATGGATCTGGTTTCCACAACTGTGAAGGCATACCTAATTCTTAGATATTGTTCTTACCCTAAATGTAGCACACAAATTACCAAATCTGAATCTGTTTTTAGGTTTGGAAATATAGGATGTCACTTACCTAAATAGTCTGGATGGTGAAATACCAGGTTCCAATTCCAAGTGGCCAGATGCTTTTTTTTGCTTTGTTTTTGGCGACTGCAATTCAGAATAGCTGCTCATAAAATTTCAGTAGTATTTTTAGACAAATGGATACTATTGTCTGAAAAGAGAGGTTAAATCCTGCTTGTGGAAGTTATAATCTCATGAACGTTGCAGTCGTTTTGCAGCACTTTGCTCATATGTTTTGCTTTTGCCAACTATATACAAGCCTTTATCTTGGTTTTAGAATACAGAAATAATAAAAACACTTTACTTTTGGATACAACAGGTACTGGTAATAACTAGAGGTGGCAAAAAGCTGCTTTGTTATAGAATGACAATATTTTCTGCCGTCTTTGATTTATTAGCTCAAAATTGTTGGAAAGGCCTCACTTAAGCTTCTGTTTCTCTTTCTTCAGAAAAATAAACATCATTTGACATCAGCCATGTCAGATTTCTACACCAAAAGCACTTGAGAGACTAGAGACTATTAGAAATAGGAGTATCTTTTTATATTAAATTTATTTTATATTAATATTTAAAATATTAATAATTTAGCATTTATATTATATTAAAAACTCAATGAAACTGAAGAAATGGAGGAGGGAATACTTCTCTGTTAAAGCTACTGCTCCTGGATTCCTGATTTTGTTCCCACAGTATGATGACCTTTATTTAATCCCTCAGTTTCTTGTGGCTCTGTAAATGTGGTTTTTTTTTTAAAAGCTTTTTTTGTGGATTTTGTAACATACTAACAAGTATGTTAGATATTAATGTGTATGTTAACTGTTAAAAATTAATATTACTGTATAACATGTAGCTGCAGACATCTATTGTAATCTGCCCCAGGTGTTGTAAGCCAATTAAAAAAATTTAGTTTGTTTTGAGAAATATTCATATATGAAAATGGTAAAGATAGTGAAACATTATGTATACACATCTTGTTTGTACAGTAACTTAAGTTTCTGTGACTTGCAGGAAGAAGTTTCTCTACCCAATTTACTAGTTGTTTGTGGGGATCATGGGATGTCTGAAACAGGTAGTCATGGTGGTTCTTCAGAAGGAGAAGTGCACACACCACTGCTGTTTATCAGCTCTGCTTTTGAAAAGAGAAGTGGTAAGAATCAAAGAAGCTTGACCTTTTTTAGAACAGTTGCCATCTCTATATTGGCTCTAGAATTCTTTTTGAAAAGTGTTTTGGTTTGTTCTACAGGTATCTGGCAAGTCTCATTCTGTGTGGTCTAAAATTCTGGTTTTAGTCAGAGTTTGCATCTGTGTCATGGTGAAACCATGACTTAATCTTTGTAACCACTGAAAGAATGGGGTATTTCTCAGATGATAACCTTTTGCAGCACTGTGCTACTTGAGTTTTGAGAGCTAATGAGATCTGTTGTCAAGATCCTGGGATACTGGTAAATGGATAGGATTAGGAGTAAAATCCTATTTGAAGTGAGTTTTAAGTTTTGTCTTTCTTGGCCAGAATATTTCCCTGGCCTCCATTCTTCCCTCTCAGACAGCCAGGATGGAGGAATGAATGACAATTTCTCATGCTGAGAGTAACAGGAAAGAGGAAGAATTGCTCTTGTGAAAGGATGAGAGATGACAGCAGTGAAAACATGGCTATTGATTGCTAAGCGTTCAGGAAAGAATACAGAGCATGAATGTATTTACTGTATTGGCCAGGCAGTTAGTTTTAAATAATTGATTTGAGTTTATCTGTTGCTGAAACTCATTTTCTACTTGTATCATATAGCTTAAGGTAAGAGGCAAGAAGGGAAAGATGTAGTAGAGAATCTTTAGTTTAATTTGTCGAGTCTTGCTTAAATAAACTCCTTGCATGAGTGAATCAGTGAAATGTAGTTATATCAGGAGTGAGTATTTTCTTCAAAGTAATACTTCCCTCTGCCTTTCGTTCTGCTTCTTGCTCATTTCCATCTGATTTCCTTGCTTTTAAAGCCTGTTTGCAGAACCTTGCCTTATTTATCTTGCTGGAGGTTCCTGCAGCACAGTGGAAGTACATTTATCTGTCTGTCATTTATAAAGCTGTTATCCAACTGCAGTAGAAAGCATTGCTTGAGGAGTCATTAAACTCTTTTCAGATATAAAACCAAAACAAAGTCAAGAGCTGTCCAAAGCTCTCAGGTAAGTTTCTGCTTTATAAACTGCATCCGTATGTGTTGACAACCACATGAGTGTAGGTTCTGTAAATGCAATCTCCTCTTCATTGGAATTAGTTTCTGTTAGATTTAAACCAAATGCACAGTTTTTACAATACAGTGAAGTATGTCTACTCACCTGTCTTTTGGGATTGAGTTTGTGATTTTTAATGATGCCCATGTAAATATCCAGCAGCTTGCTTCTCATTGCTACAGTAATCAGAATTCTAGTGACTACTCCTTATGATCCCACTGTAAACAAAATGTACTGTAGTTAATTTGGTAGACCTCAAAATAGTAATCCTGTGGGCTTTTGCATTTAGTAGGCTGTCAGAATATTACTTGTGTAGCCTTCTACAGAAATGTGTCATCCATGATTGGCTAAATGCATTTGGTAGTTTGGCTTTTTTTAACCCAAAGAACTTGCTTTTAAAGATGAAATCTGAAAACTGCTGACATGCAGGCACTGATGCAAAGAGGCTTTAGGGATTATGGATGGCATTCTGTGCAAGTATGGGATTAATCGGGGCTAGATGAGAAATGAGAGAAGTTCTAATACTCTTAAAGGGAGCCTTGAGAGTAATAAAGGCTGAATATAGAATTCTGTACTGTACTTAAGTCAAAACACTCAATGCCTGGAGTTACAAAGAGAAGGAAGTAAAAGCATAATAGAAAAGCACTGTTATGTAACTAGTAAAGCACACAAAGAAACAATTGGCAAGACAATCTTAAACTTAGGTTAGTGAAATCATTCACGCATGTAGATGTCTGTGGGACTGAAGGCTAATCCTGATAGCTGCAGAAAGGTAATGGGATCTTGTACAGAACCCTTTAAAAATCACTGGGTTTGCCTGCATGGCAGCATGGATTTGGGCCTCAACGTTCTTTACTGGACCTCTGATTCTGTTTGCCTGGCAACCTGATTTTAATTAAATCTTGAGCTGTTGTCATTATATCAAGAAGCTTCTAGACTACTGTCAGTGTTATTTTAGATTCTCATTCTTCATTCATGCATTAAATTAGTCTACTGCAGTGCTTTCTATTCTTTCTAATGTAAAAGCTATCAAACCCTCTTAGGATTTGATAGGCTGCGATTTGATATTCAGGTGATCTCCTGGGCCATCTCTTACTTGTATAACATTCATGTTGTGTTTACAGTAGTTGCTAGCATTGAAGAATGATACTTGCTGAGAACTGAATAGGTTTTGGTTTTACAACAGCAGAGGACAGCAGCTGAAAAAGATGACTCAGTTCTCTGTAGATCACTTGAAATAGCTGATCTAACACCAATGAAAAAATTGTGAAACTAACAAGATACCATCTGTTTTTGGAGAAATAGAATGGGCCTGTTACTGAAATACTTTTTTCATCTTCCTTTTTTCTTTTTCTTTTTTTTGTTGATTCTAGGTCCTCTAACCCAGCCTGAACTTGTGCAACAAACTGATTTAGCTAGCACACTGGCAGTAGGTCTTGGTCTACCAATTTCAAGAAACAGTGTGGGGAACCTTATATTGCCAGTTGTGGGAGGCAAAACAATGAGAGAACAACTGCGTTTTTTGCACCTGAATGGTTTCCAGCTTAGCAGACTGCTCCAAGAGAATACACCTGCATATGAAAAAGGTAAATCAAGAAAAAAAAAAGTTACATATACAAAAGGAGGTTGTTTATAACACAGTTTGCGCTTCTAGATTCAGAAGTATAGCACGGCACTGCAAACTAGCTATTCAGTTGAGAGAGTGTTCAGTGAAATGATACTGAGGTCAGTCTTTACTATCACCTACTCTGGGACACTGCCTCTGAATAACGTTTTTTTTAATGACCAGTACTACTTGTGGTAGGCAAAAGAGCAAAAATAATGATGGAGTAAGATTAAATTAAAACTACCAGTGTAGTTAAGTCTCAGTGGTTTTATATATGCTGTTTGTGAGGTATCCTACATAGGGCACTGATTCTGATCTATTTGGAGGAATAGCACAATGGTATGAATTTTCTAGTTTAAATAAATAGATGCTTCAGGTAAAGCTGGGAAATAATTTAGGATAAATTATCTTTTTATTTCATTCTTATGTATGAATTTACTTGGAATGAAAACCTAGAGAACTGCAAAGTTGCTTATAAAAAATGCACAAATGTGTGCGTACGTATGTGTGTGTATTTGGAGGAAAGAATAAAAAACATGTAGAAAAATGAAACCAAACCTAGCAAAATGTAGTATTTCATTAGGAAGCATGATCTAAACTGCAATATAAGCACATTAATATGATAATTATGTGAAAAAATATTGAGTCAGAGGATGAAGGAGAATGTTTTACCATGGACATTAGAAGATGATGTTGTCTTGAAGTGACTGTGATGCTTGAAGTCCTTGTCACTTGATTTATAATCTGTTGAATCATTAAAATAACTGGATGAGAATGCAGAGCTGTGTTACAGCTATGAATTATTAAAGCGGATAACAACGTAAAGTTTAGCAAGATGATCATTGTAGGTCAAGAATTAATTATCTTTCAACAGAACGGCTTCTAATCATAATTAAACCCTGTCTAGGAGTCTTACAAAACAAATGTCGCTTATGGTAGTAATACGTCAGTAGCAGGACTCATACTCCATCTATTCTGATTTTTTTTTCTGCCTAGATTTCCTCACTTAATGCATTTGTGTCAAATGAGGAAATTTGCCCTGTTGGTGGAGTTCAGGATATGGCTGTGTGATTGAAAATTCCGACAATAAACTCCATCTGACAGTATTTCTGCAAGCACTGGTGAAACAGACTGAAGTTTCTACCAGCTTCTGGATTATATCTTCACTTTCATTTTATTTTTGTCCAGGAACAGTTTAGTTTCAACTTGTATCTTTCATCTGAGAAATGAAATCCAAATTGCTGAGGATGGAAATGTGAGAAATTTTTATACTACTTGCTTGTGACTGCAAACTGCTGTTAGAGGTGCTACCATACTGGAAAGGGGTTGAGGGGCAAAACATCCATCATGAGCTTCTTTCCTTTCAGTAATGGAGAGTCTTAGTAACATGGAACTACATCCAGGTCGTGGTAGCTTTTTTTGCAGAGTCTTAAGGTGATTCTTCCTGTTGCTGTAACCTTCTTAGAGGGTCTTGTTTTTCTTAGAGTGTCCTAGATGTGCAAAGCTGTAGGTTAACACTTTGGTCGGGACGATTAAGATCAGCAGGGAAAAGAGATGTACTTTTTGTTTAGTGTCGTTTGATTGATGTGGATACTTCAGGCCCTAGAAATACTAAAGAAAATGTTACTAACTCAGTGACTAATGCTGCATGTAATTTCAAAGCATGCATGAATGGCCCTTTATTTTGGGTGGCTTCTAATTGAAGATAAATGCCATCCCACCTATCTCACCTGTCACTGTTTAAGGCTGGGCCGGC